GCTGCCGACAACTCTTTTATGTGTTGTGCATCATGTTGTGCCCCTCTTACTATTCACTGCCAATTGATTTAGCAAAGGTTTATTTTTAAATTTAAAAGAAAGTTTATTGCCGTGAACCTTCGCACGGTGCACTCCATTTTCCACCTACTCCCACTTGCCATCAATTTCCATTCAATTTTGCTGGTGCAGCGAGACTAAGATCGCTTAAAACTGAACTTCAAGAGTTCCAAAATTGATTCCTTTTGACCACTTTAACATTCAAAGTAACCTCTGCAAATAACAAAACAATGAGAAGTCAGATGATTGAACTCAGTGGGTTGTTCGAGCTTAGACTTCTGCTGAGAAACAGTGAGGAGAAAGAAATCGTTATGGTCGAGGGACGTTCAGAACATCCTGTCATGTCTGACCTCATGGTCTTTATTTTCCCATTGCTGTCTTCTTAGTATTTCAAGGATTGCCAAAAACTCTCCGACTTTAGTTACCAAGTCAAGCACACACTCCCATAAAGAATAAAATGGCTGAGCCACAGCAATACTATGCAATAGGGAATCAAATTGCTTTTACTTACATGAAATGTTGGAAGTTGTACGTTGAAGCAGAGAGTGGAGTAAATGCACCTGAGTAATGGTGGTCCTTCCCCCCAGCTGCGTCTGCTCTATCTATCTCAGTCTGCCGGTAGATCCCGCTGTGCCTGCTTCCCATCTCCTAAGCTGCGAGATAATGAATTAACATCTACCCACAAAGAGTTAAGTTCTTAATCAAAAGAGTACTTCCTCATTCACTTCTACGAAAGTGGTTTTTTTTCAGGCCTTAAGTTTAACTGGGGTAACTTTTCTTTCACTTAAGGGTATCAAAGGTAGTGCTGTCTTGCCTCTGCCTGTCTTTTCCCTTTCCAGTGTTGTCATTGGACAGAAGTTGGTCCAAACTCGCTTGCATCTGTCATAATCGCTGTCTGTCCTGTCACTCCGTCAGCTGGTCTATTTTCCAATCTGTTCTTCAGTCCATCTTAACTGTCGGTTTACGACTCCATCGCCCGTCAGTCTTTCCTTCTCCATCTTGTTCATTTGACATTTTCATCACGCAGTTTGGCACCGTAATCCAATTCATATTATTCTATGATCAACTTAGATATCATTCTCAATCTGTTCTCATGTGTTGCGGCGTTCTATCTACCTCTATAAAGGGATGTGGCCAGGATTTTAGAAATGCTGTGGTCCTCTTTGCATTTTATTACTCAACACGCTGTGGTTGGGGAATATAAATTGCCCGTAGGTGTCTGAATGCAAGTGTGAATGGTTGTATGTCTCTGTGTTAGCCCTGCAATTGGCTGGCGACCAATCCAGGATGTACCCTGTCTCTCGCCTGGGATGGACTCCAGCCCCCCCCACGACCCTGTGTGCAGGATAAGAGATGTGAAGATGGATGGATGGACTCCCGTACTGGTCATTTGAACATACTCTACCTTGTTAATTGGATCAAACCATGCATGACCATACATTCATCAAACAAACGTGGTATAGGTATAGGGTGTAGACTGTATAGTAAAAGTGAATGGGTGTTCAAGGTGTAAGACGAAAACACAGACTCTACTTAAAAGCTTTAATTTGACATTTTGATGTCGATGTCTTGATTTTTCTGAACAGAATTTGATTGGCAGAGGAGTGATGTTGTGATACGTACACCTTGCAGCTCTGTTACAGCGATCCGCAGAGGGTATACCCTCCGCGATAGTCTTTCTGGCTCTAAATGGTGCCATACTGTCTGACGTAGTTTTGCAACCAGAGAGATTTCTGCCGTATGGCTACTAGAATGCAAATTTAACAGATTTTCCTTCTCAGGCTTGGAGTTTCACATTGTTTTAGCTTATCTAGCGCATCACTCTAGTTCACTCCGACTCTCATTAGCGTTGTTTCAGCAACATCAGCTGGCCAGACGTTTTCAGCAACACTCTATTTCTCCTTCTCTAGCGATCCTTGTCCTTTAGTGCATTGGCTTCTCTTTTTTCATTTCGCTGTAGTGACGGTGCTGGTTTGACAAATCGAAACAAGAAAAATCTACCTGGTCAGATGCCTCCCTTGAATATGAAGGTTTTAAGGACAATCTAAGGAGATTGAGAGGAGCAGTAACTTACGATCGGGGTAAGTTCTTCAGGTGTTCTAGGCGTGCACACACCTGCCATGATTACCTGACAATAATAGAAAATACCACAGAACGTTTTTGCAATAACTCTCCAGAAACTGATAGTTTACCTGAGGTGGTCAATAATATCTTCGCAAGGGGTGTGAGTTTCTTTATATTCTTTTTTCCAGTATGGGAGACAATATTCCTCCTGGGAATTACACGTCTGGGGAAATCAATACTGGCTTCACTATGACCAGATTGTACGGCGGGCATGCGGCAGTGTTTTCTTTCTGCCTCTTCCCCCCCCCCCCCCGCGCTGTAAAGGACGGGACTGAGAGGGTGAGAGGCAGAAGAGGCAGTGGCAATTTCTTCCAACAACATCTGACATATGAACAGGTCTGTTTTTCGCTCATACGCCAAGTGCTGCACCGGACTGCCAGTAAACACAGATACTTAAAGTTGCTCATTTTATAAACCCTCCCTTTGCTTCTGGCACACCGTAGACTTAAAAGTTAGCACACAAATGAGGGGGTGGGGGCATCAAGGGGATATTAATGGTGGACGGGACTCAGACAGAGTCAATTGGGCTTTTAATAGAGCAGGCTTCTCTTCCTCTGTAGGGATAAATAATACAGGAGTCAGCAAATCTGGATCTAATAGATGATATTGACCTTTTGGGGAGAAGAGGGGAGGGGGGGGGGCACGAGGGGGTGTAAAACCGAGAGCTGAGCTGGGGAAGTGTCAATAGAAGCAGAGCGCTCAGACAAAGCGTCTTAATCCGAGTGTGACGAAGCGGTGATCAATCACTGGGATGACGATGTGGTATACGGAGCCCGAGAGGCCCTGACCTAGGATGGGCCCCCAGGGACCCCCTGTGACGCTTTCCTCCGCTCTCTTCTCTCCCTCTCCTGCACTCTCTCGTCGGCGGTATTGTGTCTTCCTTTCCTCCTCCATCTCTATGCATCGCTTCGCCCTCTGTTCCATTTTGATTACTCTCTGCCGCCTCACACTTTCCTCCCTCCCTTCCATTCTCCCTATATTTCTGTTGGTACCCACCATCTGTCATCCGTTGTTTCTTTTGTCACCCCCCCCACCTTCCAATCCCACTCATTTTCACTCCCTCAATCCAATTCAAGGAGCTTTTTATTGGCGTCATAAGATGAATTTTACTGTCTTGCTGACTCTCCTTCGGGAACGGTTCTTTTTTATTCTTCTTCCTAATTCCATCTACTTTTTTTTTTCTTCAAATGCTGCTCCGCAATACTGCAGCGCCTCACAAATAAGCCGGCCCGAGAGTCATGGTCGGAGTCCAGCGCACTTCATCACTTCACATGGGTATTGAAGTCGAGGCCGCGCGTTCTTTATTACGCTGCTTACGAACAGGCAGGGTGAAGCTGGATGCCACTCATATCAGACAGTTTTTGTGCGTGTGTTTTTTTACAAGCGTGGTGGAGGGCATGAGTGTTGGGGAAAAGCCAGCCTAATAAAATGACTTCAGATAACAGCCTTGTATTTCCAGAAGGCCTTCAAAACGGACTTTTATGTGTATAGTGACACCAAGAGGACATGTCGTGCAACCGATCGGAACACCACTACAGTGTGCAGCCAGGAACCACTGTCCTCTTCTGTGAAAGGAAAAATAGATCCAAAGCACAGATTCAAAACACGATTTGTGAAAAACGTGTCCAACGACGAAGCTGCATTGACGGTGTTATTTAGACAGTGAATTGAAGTGATGAATTGAAGTTGTTTTTTTCTGTATGCAGAGTTTAAAGAAACGGATCCATCTGCTTCTCTGCTGCGGATGAACTCAGTGTATATATATGTGTATATATATATATATATATATATATTTATATATATATATATATATATATATATAATGAGAGAGAGAGAGAGTTTGTACATAATTCATATTTAAAGAGTCCCGCTGTACTGTACATAAGGTACTGTACCTGAGCTGGTATTACGCTCAGTATTATAAGTACGGTTTGTACTTTTCCAAAGAGGAGTCAGCACTCTGTCCGAGGAGACTCTCCGTATCCAGGAAGTGACGGTGGGGACTTAATAGGGTCGAAACAAGCTGAGGGAGGTCGTCCCGTCTCTACAAAAGAAGTTGGAAGAGAAGAGGACCTCCGCCGTTTGAGAAAGAGACCGACAGAACCACACGGGAAGTTAAAAGGTTGTGACTTCAAATTAAAAGCACTCAAAGTGGGTTGTGAGAAAACAGATGTTGGAGTTATGTGGGTTATCAGCAGATGCATATTTACATTTATATATATTTTTTGTGATGTAACTGATGCATGGTGATTGGCTCAAGCCTGAGGGCTCTTGGGTACACAACAATACAATAACCGCCCCATGCATTCCCATTGAATTCCTGTGGAATTCTTGGGAGATGTTTCATTGGTTTACCACCGTAGGTCAGCTCTGCTCTCTGGTAATTTGTTCAAACTTGCTCATTCGTAAATATGCAGCACACTCAAGACCGTTAACTCTGCTGTTCGGATCCTTAAGCGGTCAGCTCCTAATCACGATCACGTTTTCAATGAATCAGAATCAACCAGATGTTAGACAGTATCAACAATACTAGACCTTATTGTGCACCACAAGTTGTGGGGCCTTAATGAAACTCTCTGCTTTGAAGCCATCACAATGCTTGATATTCCTTAAAAGATGGAAGATGGTGACACTGTAACTGAATACTTCTCACCAATATGACATTTCCGTACAAGTAAGTACTATCCTCAGCAGTATTTGTTGGTCAGATATGCGGTTTGGTTTAAGTTGTTAATTATAATAATTAAAAAAATCAGAGCTCAAGCTCTGCAAAGGAGGAAAAACAACACATCATGATCGTAACACCGCTCGTGGTTTTATTTTGAAAGCACCGGAACCCGTTGGCGTGCGTCTTTCCACTCTCCTGTGGATGTGAGACGGCGGTCTCGGGGCGAAAAAACATCGCCAGAAAAGCGACCGACAAGGAGGGGGGAGAGATTAAAAAAAAAAATACATCGTTTCCCATGTTTCTCCACAGAGCCTCAATGACCCGCCGGCGGAGTGACGCGTCGCGTCGCTGACAGGTGAAGCGGCGGATTTCACTTGCTCGACTTGGGGGGATAAAGTTGTGAAACTGCGGGGGTGAAACCGGAGCGCGCCGCCGAGTGAGAGTGGGGTGAGGAGGCTGGATTTGGCAAAAAAAAAAAAGTTGGGAGTCCTGCCCTGCTCGCCGCTAGCGGGCTAGTCCGGTTAGCACGCTCGCGCGCCGCGAGCCCTCGGAACCGCTAACGAGGTGAGGAGGGTCAGCCGCTCGCGCGCTGGCAGCGTCGGGGTCAAGGGTGGAGGTCTGCGAGGAATGTCCTGCCGGAAATAACGGTCCAACGGGGTCTCGGCTGCAGAGAAAAACATTGACATGAGTAGGGCCTGGACTTTTTTTTTTTCTTTCTTTCTCATTCTACCAAAACTTGAATGCAACTTTCTGGTGAAAGTGCGGTGTCCCGGGTCCTTTTAACGGGTACCGTTTTTAGCGGTGTTTCCCGTTAATGTCCCGTTGCTGTGACTGGGGTGTGTTTTAAAACATTTTGCCCTCACAGGTTTTATCAATATTGAAAAAGCAGCTCTCGATACCCGGATATAAGTGACCAATGGCAACGCGTCTCCCTCTTTTTTTTCTGAATTGTCAGAACACGTCTGAATGGGTGTGATCCTATTTTGGTTTCACAATAATGGCCTCATCACACAACTACCACAGGAAACCGCAGTGTGACTTCAGTGCTGCTCATCGTGTGTTTTAGATATCCGCCTCTGTTACTGGCCCTTGGGCCTTAAAACCACCATCACTCATGTTTCATTTCTGTGTTTCAGAGCTTCGCTCCGCTGTTCTCCGGCCTCCAGTGGAGCTGCTATATCTGTATCAAGACCGCTGCTGACACTACAGCCCCCCATCCCGAAAAAAAAAAGGATCCCGGCACTTCTCCTAAAGGCGATCGCACTTTCAGCTGTTTGATAGAACCTCTGTCGCTCCCTGACACAGTAGGCCGTCTGGACATGGTGCCCTGGTAGGTACTTCCAGGGGCTCGAGGTACCCAGACCCCCACCGATCCGTGCCGCCCCGCGCAGACACACCCGCCCGCAATAAATCCAGCCGCCCTACACCCTTTAAACTGGGGTCGGGTGCATCGGGTGCTTCGGTGAGGTGCGACTGCCGATGCCGCCTCGCGGGGGGCTCGAGTGGGCGTGACCCGGCTTCATTCATGAACCCTCCGCCTGGGTGCGGCCCGGATGCTGAACGCCCGCCGTGTGTTGGATCAGCCGTTGCTGTGATGAGGCAGGTCTCCTGGCGGCCTGTGCGGCTGGCTGAGCAGTGGCCCAGGCTGATGTGATGGGGTGCAGGAACAGCAAGGTCCTCCCGGAGCCTCCAGGGGACGTTCAGTTGGACCTGGTCAAAAAGGTCAGTGGGTCGACGTTGCTTCTGGTAATGGGCGGGGGGGGGGGCGTTGAAAGCTCCCCTGATGCTGTTGTTTCTAGAAAGCAGCAAAAGAAGCAGTAATATGTGTGAGAAGCTGAAAGTAGAACATTATTGCTACTTAGTTTATAAAATGATTAGTGACATTGCAGCATTTGAATATTGGAAGGGTTCAAATATTTTTAGTCGTTGGAAGTTGGAGTTACATTTGGTGCCAGAGTGTCACAAGATGTTGCAATTGAAAAACCGACCCTAATCATAAACTATTTCGATAACTGATCATCATACCGTCTCTGATATTAATTAGAAGATATTTGGGTTCTTGACTGTTGGTTGAAATGCGTCTTTGGGGAGTAAAACCTCCCACTCAGTGTGTTTGGCCACAAAAAAAGTATGTGGTATCTGTTTCAGATTCATTCATGTAAAAGCTGATGACTATCAGCCACATATTGATCTGTCTGAGCCTTAGAAGCCTCATATTGGTCAGACTAAACAAACTATAGACTAAGAATATGTACATTGATGTCTAAGGGTTAATTATGTTTTTTTTTTAATTGTATTTTTCAGGTTGATCCTCCTCAGACGGATATCTATAAGCACTTCATACGGGGCGACGGCACTAGGAGCAAGACGGGCGGGGCCTCCCCGTTTCAGGCGCAGGCCCAAGCCGCCGCTTCCGCCCAGCCCCCAAAGGACCCGTCCGATCCGTCGGACCCTCAGCGGAAGAAGGTGGCGAAATATCGAGCCAAGTTTGACCCCCGGGTCACCGCCAAGTACGACATCAAAGCGCTGATCGGCCGCGGCAGCTTCAGCCGGGTGGTCCGCGTGGAGCACAAGAGCACGCGGCAGCCGTACGCCATCAAGATGATCGAGACCCGCTACCGGGAGGGGAGGGAGGTTTGCGAGTCGGAGCTGTGCGTCCTGCGCCGCGTGCGTCACACCAACATAATCCAGCTGATGGAGGTGTTCGAGACGGCCGAGCGCGTCTACATGGTGATGGAGCTGGCCACCGGCGGGGAGCTCTTCGACCGCATCATCGCCCGCGGCTCCTTCACCGAGCGGGACGCCACGCGCGTGCTGCAGATGGTGCTGGACGGCGTCAAGTACCTGCACACCCTGGGCATCACCCACCGGGACCTGAAGCCGGAGAACCTGCTCTACTACCACCCCGGGTCCGACTCCAAGATCATCATCACCGACTTCGGCCTGGCCAGCAGCAGGAAGAAGGGGGACGAGTGTCTGATGAAGACCACCTGCGGCACGCCGGAGTACATCGCCCCCGAGATCCTGGTGAGGAAGCCCTACACCAACGCCGTGGACATGTGGGCGCTGGGGGTGATCTCGTACATCCTGCTGAGCGGAACCATGCCCTTTGAGGACGACAACCGCATGAGGCTCTACCGGCAGATCCTCAAGGGGAAGTACAGCTTCTCGGGAGAGGTGAGGAGCCATCGCTCACAAACACTTCCCCCCCCCGTGTTTGTTCAAGTTCAATTTTATTTATATAGCACATTTAAAAACAACCTCGGTTGAACAAAGTGCTTAACAAGCTCGAAAGGCAGCGATACAATAAAACACAGACAGAGCACAATGTACAATACAAAATATCTGACAGTAGAGAAAGAATAAAGTCAAAATATCAAAGCTCAACTTGAATTAAAAGCCAATGAATAATAGTGGGTCTTAAGCAGGGACTTGAACGTTGCAATGGTCCGAGCTGTTCTTACACGAATAGGCAAACTATTCCAGAGGTTTGGAGCAGCCACTGAAAAGGCTCGGTCACCTCTGGTTTTTAACCTGGATCAGACACATCGAGGAGCATCTGATTAGACGACCTCAGTGCTCTGATGTGTGGACAAGTAGGAAGGCGACAACCCATTTAAAATTTTAAAAACAATTAATACAATTTTAAATTCCATCCTGAAACAAAGGAAGCCAGTGGAGGGTGGCCAAAGCCGGTGTAATGTGGTCGCGTTTTTTAGTCCTGGTCAAAAGTCGAGCTGCTGCGTTCTGGACTAACTGCAAGCGACGAAGGGATGACTGATCCAACCCAACACGCAGTGAGTTGCAGTAGTCTAAGCGGCACGTAATGAATGCATGTATGACTCTCTCAAAGTCTTTGCGTAGCAGGTAGGGCTTGACTTTAGCCAGGAGTCTCAGCTGGAAGAAGCTAGTTTTGACAACAGAACTAATCTGTTTGTCAAGTTTAAAAGCACGATCAAAAATCACTCCCAGATTTCTGGTAAAAGGACGAATTTGGGAGCCTAAAATACTGAGAGTATCTACACAGGCACTGAGATGTTCAGCACGTCCAAACACAACAACCTCGGTCTTATTGTCATTAAGACAGAGAAAATTCTGATCCATCCATCCATACTTTGAGATCACTCAAGCAGTTTAACAGCGGCTTGATAGTGTCCTTATTGTTTTTTACAGGCAGGTAAATGTGTACATCATCAGCAAAACAATGGAAAGATGTTGTGTTTTTTAAAAATGGACCCTAAGGGCAGCATATACAGAGAAAACAGCATTGGTCCCAAAATGGAACCTTGGGGGACCCCACAGGACAGAGGGGCAACAGATGAAGAGCAGTTACCAATGTGGACAGAAAAACTCCTATCTGTCAAGTAGGATTCAAACCATTTTAGGGCTATACCTCTAATGCCAACACTTTGCTTGAGTCGGGATAAAAGGATAGAGTGGTTGACCGTGTCAAAGGCAGCAGTCAAATCTAAGAGCACTAAAACAGCAGAATTTCCTGAATCGACAGCTAAGAGGAGGTCGTTGTAGACTCTTAGAAGGGCCGTTTCAGTGCTGTGGCGGGGCTTAAAGCCCGACCTGAAACTTTTCATGAATACTACAATCATCTAAAAATGATTTGAAGTTGATTAAAAACCACCTTCTCCAAGACCTTAGATAAAAAGGGTAATTTAGAAATAGGTCTAAAGTTAGACAAAACTAACGGATCCAGATTTTTCTTTTTTAAGAGTGGTTGCACAGCATGTTTAAAAAGCTGAGAGATTGCCAAGTTAACCAAGCATAAAATACTGGACCCAACAGTGTTAAAAACCTCTTTAAGTAAGCGTGCAGGGATACTATCCAGTAGGCAGTTAGCCGGACGAAGCTGTTTGACTATGTCAGAAAGAAGGTTTAGTGAAACTGGCTCAAACTGCTGAAAGACCGCTGGGCATGAAAAAGTAACAGAGGGGCCATTGGAAGAAACGGGGGATGAAAAGCTCAGGCCAGCAATTTTATCTATGAAATGTTTCAGGAGGTTTTCACACAACAATGTGGATGGCACAGCACAGTCATTTTCACAAGGATTAATAAGTGAGTTAAACACTTTAAAAAGAACCTGAGGCCTCTGGGTGTTACTAGCAACCAGGTGAGATAGATAATGAGTTTTAGCAGATTTAACTGCTCCCTGGTATTTATGTAATACAGGAATACAATCCTCACGCCGCACGAGGCGCCGTCAACAGGTCGCTGAGTAGAAGTGTGGCTTTTTCGCATCGCGCGTCCACGTATGCCTCTTCTTCCGTTTACCGCGGCGCGCTCACTCGCGTGTGTGTTTGTCGACGCGCCCTCCCTCCGGCGTAAATGACAGCTGAGCAGTTCTGTAATATTTAATAAGTGGTTACATCCTCTCGCTTGCGTTGAACTGTGCGTCTGAGCGACGGGGTCCATACTTCCTTTTATAAAAGCTCATTTTACATTACATTACAGGTCATTTAGCAGACGCTTTTATCCAAAGCGACTTACATTACACTTTAAACCCATGGCTTTTTCACATTTTTGCCCGGGGAGCAATTAGGGGTTAGGTGTCTTGCTCAGGGACACTTCGACATGGAACATGGGGCAGCCTGGACTCGAACCAACAACCTTGTGCTTCCCAGCACACCTTCTCTAACCCCTGCGCCACAACGACCCATTTCTGTTTGACAAAGGGGGAGCAGAAGAGTGACGTGGCTCACGTTGAAAACAATAAGTCACGTTCTACTGAGACACACTAGGAACACGCTGCCCTAATTCTATTGGCCAATTCTAACAGTTAATGTTCAAATGGGGAAACGGTCGCCACATTGGCATTGGTTCGGATTCTAGTGTGGAATGCTGGCCCCTCGTCTCTGACCTCTGGCTCGGCTCTTTGACGCGTTCCCCACAGAAACGTCTGTCTCTGTCGCAGCGAAATGCTCGGCCGCTGATCAGCCGCTCTGTCCGGGTGGCGTTTGGCGGCGAGCACCTAGCAGACCTCTCTGCTGCGGCTGGAAAACGCGCTCAGCAGTGGGACCGAAACCAAGCGTAGCTGAAAGACGCAGAAATGTCCCGTAGAAGGCCAGCGGATCGGGGGCTGATCCTCTGGGGTTGACTTTACGAGTAAAGGAACATTACGTAGTCCATTGACCCGGTTTTGCAATGCAAACACTCGTGGAGTTTTCTCGTAAGCTCGGTCGTGCTGACATTTCCGCCAACGTGCATCGTGTAAGTCATGCACGCAAACTGCAATTACTTTTTAGAGCCTTTCCTCGTCTCCACAGTTATTTGTCGGCTTGCTCGCAAAGTTCTCGCTTATCTTCTGTTGATTTGTTGGCTATTTCTTTTGATCCATTACCTTTCAGTGCTCTAAATCGATTGGAAAGCAGCAGCTTGAATCTATTGTTAAATACCACTTGAACGCGTTCGTAGAGCTGACGCCGTTAGTCGATTCATCAGTAAGTCACTCCAAGTGAATTAAATGTCCTTCAATTTACCAAAGAATAATAAATAATAAAAAGACAAAATTGGCTCAAGAAAAGTTACAAATTGTTAAATAATACACATAGTATAGTTGAAACAGTAAAGTAAAGATGTGTTTGGGCCCCGCTGGTATCGCGATAGTGACTCTGTACCAGTCATTGTGCTAAATAGACCCACAGAGACGATAAGGTACATTTTGGAAAGGTTATGCTGCGGCAAAATTGCATACAATGAATAAAGTAGATCGAATGATTACAGAATGTCTTATCACATTAAGTGGAATAAATCAAACTGTTTAGTTCAGTATCTCTCTGCTGCCACCTAGTGTCCAATAGACTGAGCTGCAGCACCATTGCTCACGCGGCGTATTCATCGAATAAAAAGCTGTAGTTTTAACGCCTGTACGTGTGATGATGAAACATGCGTCCAAAAACACCAACACTGTGTAATAACACTATGTGGAGATCGACTGAATAGAAATGTCCCCCGAATGAAAAGACCGAAGCCATCAAAAAGGACATGTGCGCCATCAAAAGTGTCTTAATTGACGTCTTGTCTCCCGCCTCCAGCCGTGGCCCAGCGTGTCCAACCTGGCCAAGGACTTCGTGGAGCGGATTCTGACGGTGGACCCCAGCGAGCGGCTCACGGCGGGCCAGGCCATCAAGCACCCGTGGGTGGTCAGCATGGCCGCGTCCTCGTCCATGAAGAACCTGCAGCGCTGCATCTCCCAGAACCTGCTGAAGCGGGCGTCCTCGCGCTGCCACAGCACCAAGTCGGCGCAGTCCACCCGCTCCAGCCGCTCCACCAAGTCCAACAAGGCGCGCCGGGTGCGAGAGAAGGAGCTGCGCGAGCTCAACCGCCGCTACCAGCAGCAATACAACGGCTGAGGGGGGGGGCAGACTTTTCCAAGAGCTTCCTGCGTGCCCATGGTGACATCATCTCTCCAACCATTCCTTCACCTGGTTTTATACCATTTTCCCCGGCAGGGTGGAGCCACCTCCACTGCTCCTTTTTTTTTTTCCTTTTGTTCCCTTCCGATCGCTGTGTCTCCCCATATTTATTTATTATCGTCGACGCGATTATTAGTCTCTATTCAAACGGTCACTGGATAATGGCCTTCCACGAGGATCTGTTGAACAGAGTTCTGGGTACTGGAGTTTCTCGAAGAACAAAGGGATACTTTTAGAAGTAGGGCTGCCCGCCCGCGTTCATTCCTGATTTGGAAATTGCTGTGAATTAATTATTGTACAGATTGCACGGACCACGTCTGCTGCAAGCACACTGCAACAGACTCGCACCCTTGAAGGTCATTCTTGTCCTCCTTTTTTAAAAAAAATTTTTATTTAGTCAACTCCCAAGCTTATCTCATGTTTCCATTATAGCTCATGTATTTTCTTTTTCTGAAGCTGTCCAAAGATTGTGAAGCTGCTTTGCGTTTAGATCTTCTTTGTTCTGGACATCGGGCCGCGTCTACTCGGTCATGAACGTCCTGCTGTGATCCCTCCGCCTCGTTTCTGGGAACGCGCTCACCGGTTCGGGGTCCCGCGCGTTCCACCTACTTCAGCGCACGTCGCGTCGAGTCGCACCAGCGCTTTGCAGGTTCAAACAACTAACTAGTTAATAATAACTAACCTAGTGACGGCACAAACACGGGTTTCTACCTGACTTCATCACAGCTACAACTGCTCCACAGTCACCCCCACCCGCTGAGCATGGACGAGCTCAAATAGGCTTTAAATGACATTTCAGAAAACACTTTAGTATCCATCAAATGACCAAATCTTAAAAGGAAATCTCAGGTGACGTAACGCCTGCCATCGTCAACAAAAACAACCAACCGAAACACGTTTTAAGTTTTCCTTGAAGCTTAAGGAGCGGACGGTCCGTCAGCCAGAGCTGGGATCCTCTCCGCGCCGCGTTTTTGAAACGTCGCTCGTCCTCGCAGCGGCTCCCCGAGTTCCCCACTGATTGTAGAACAGAAGCGCCTTCCTAGATGAAGTTTACCACCATCACGGCCGACATGAAGGAAACCACGGAAGATGATGAGCGTGGAGAGGTGACTCAAAAGGCCGTTATTGGTTTTAGTTCATTTTAGATTGTGAATTCTAAAACCTAGAGCTCGCAGTCTGTTTCTTCGTGCACTTACGCGTCCTTGCCTATCAAGGTTACTTTCAATAAAAAAGAAATGGGACTGGTTGAGTGATTTGTGTTTCTTAATATGAAGGTATAGTTTGGAGGGCTGCGTTACAATAAAGCTTCTGAACTTATTAAACCGTTCAAGTCAAATGATTAATGAATGCCACTTCCTGTTGGGTTGTGATAGAAATGATTCATCCTCAACTCAGTCAAAATGTGATATTTGATTATTGAATAACTCCCCAAAGAAGCATTACTTTTTCTTAGAAATAGCTGAGTGTTTTTCATTTGACTAATTGTATCTGGCAAAGCACTTAACCTATACATTTACATAGAATTGTGTTTTGAAATGGCATCCTTCTTGCGTCGCCGTGTCCCACAAAAAGCCCTTTGCTGCAGTGGGGTCTTCTCTTCTTTACTTGAGTATTTTGCTGTGATCTACCCCAGACTTATAAGATGTGTCGCTGTTGTGAAGTCTTTTTTTTTTTATTTGTATTTTTACACGTACTGGAAACTTAACCGAGCCATGTCAGCTGACCTCAGTTTCTTCCTTTGTTTGTCTTGTGTCCTTTTTTCTAGTTTCAGGATGCTCACGACGTCATCTTCCTCTTTCCTGTGATGGAAGTCCGATTTGACACTGCTGTTACCGGGCGCGACTCAATTGTTCATAGAAGGCTGATAATGAGGCCGACGTTAAAACTGGTGTTCTCTCATAATGTTATTGAGGAAGACCCACCGAAATGTTGTTTTGACATCAGACACACAGTGAAGTTGTTTTCTTCACAGGGACGACGGCCGTGGTCGTCTTTAAAAGACTCCTAGAGCATCTGTTTGAAATGAAACGCATTTAGCTCGTTCTTAAATATCGGCTTAAAAGAGCGACGGTCAATGAGTAACCAAACTGGTTCATGAGCAGCTTCTCAGCAAGACGGTACATTTGTTAAAAAAAAACAAAAAAAAGTGTTCCTTTTGCTTTTAAAAAAAAAAAATCTGTGATTTCATGTAAACAGTCGTCCTCAATGAAGTTGCAAACTCATCACTGTTACCTGAAAACAGTTTTTTGTGTTTTTTTTTTTTTTGTTATTGTGTCTCAATGAATGATAACACTTTGATTCCTCTACCATTAACTTTTTTTTAAACATTTTTAAACGGTGAGTTGTACGTGCCAATAAAACACTCAAACCTGACTGCGAGATCGCATTTAGATTTTGTCTTGTAGACGATTGTAGGTCACGGGAGGTGTAAGTAAATAAACCGTTTTCTATTCATGTTTAATCCATGGAAATAATGAAGAGCAAAACGCAGGTAATAATAAAGGGAAAATACATTTTGAAGTCAATTTTGTATCAAACATTTGTCTCGAGGGGCTTTAGATTCTTAACAGCATACCAAATTTAGCATATACAGTAAAGTAAAGAAAAAGTGTGTCCTACACCATAACAGCGTACAACTTTGTTTGAGGACTGAATACCTTTCCTTGGACTCACTGTTTGATCACAGTTCATGAAAGAGGTTGAATGAGATGAGAGCCCCTAAAAAGTCCCCCATGGCTTTTAACCTTAAAGTTATGGAAGCATTTACATTTCTAAATATGCACCCGCGGCTCTGTCACTGCTACGGTTGTAATACACATTTGAAATTACAAAGAGTGAAGTATTTGATGTAGTACTCCTCTCCCAGTCTGCTTCCCTGGCAGTAAACAGCGCCCTCTGCTGGTAGAACTGCAGAGTGCGCGTGAAGGCTGGAGGGCCGGTGGGTTGCCAGGTTTGAAAAAGATTTTCCCAACGTGAACAAATGTGCTTTTGAAAGCGAAGAGGGACCATGATGAATAGTAACAACTTTAACTTTCCAGGAAAACACTAGGCCTTAACCCCAGCTGTCCCCTTTGCGATGTATATTATCTGAAGTGTATCGATGGGCTAACGGTTCTCCTTGGTTGAGGAGGATGAGCCAACCCGACCTGGCATCCCTTCATAACCAGACGTCAGTGGTCTGCGGCTGTAGCGTTTAGTGAGTTTGCTGCTAGCTTTTGTTTCGGTGGACAATAGAGCACCTACCGAGCACCGTTAGCCATCAACGTGTAAATACACTGACAGTGAAGAAAACGCACATAAAACTGCGACGTTCCGAAGCTCGGTGAGTACAATCATCACACACACCGCCAGCAGATACCGTAAAAGATGCTAGCTAGCTGACGCTGTACATGTGATAAAATACACGAGCACGTCTCCTTGTTTACGTTACCAGCCGTACTACAGATAGCCGTCGTTACGTTGAGCCTCAGCGACATCGACACGTTCGTGGCTTGAAAATGACGCTCTTCCACATTCGACATTTAAACGCTGCGTCTCAGAGGCACGCGAGCATCCAGCGTGACCGTCCGTGCTGGCTTTGTTTATGGCGACAAGCTGGAGCCTTCATCTGTGGCTACTCGGCTAACGCCAGTCCGCAGCTCACTGGTTACCTGGTCAGCGCATTGGTTAGCTCAGTGCTTACCTGGTTAGCTCATTGGTTACTTGGTCAGCTCAGTGGTTAGCTGGTCAGCGCATTGGTTAGCTCAGTGCTTACCTGGTCGGCGCATTAGTTAGCTCAGTGCTTACCTGGTTAGCGCATTGGTTACTTGGTCAGCTCAGTGGTTACCTGGTCAGCGCATTGGTTAGCTCAGTGCTTACCTGGTCGGCGCATTAGTTAGCTCAGTGCTTACCTGGTTCGCTCATTGGTTACGTGGTCAGCTCAGTGGTTGCTTGGCTATTATATTGATTACCTGGTCATCTCATTGGTTGGCTGGTCAGCTCCATGGTTACCCGGTTAGCTCATTTGTTAGCTACTTGGTTACCTGGTTAGCTCATTGGTTGCCTGGTCAGCTCATATTGTTAGCTCGGTGGTTACCTGGTCATCTCATTGGTTGGCTGTTCAGCTCATTGGTTACCTGGTCATCTCATTGGTTACCTTTTTATATGATGAACACTGGAGACTGGAATTTATTTTAATCAACGACCTCTGCGTTTGTCCTTTTGTTAGTTAATCTTTGTGATATTTATTGTGAGTTGGTGTCACTGTTTGGAGGACGGAGGGTTCCAGCTAACAAGAACGGCCCCGCGCTGATTCCTTCTGAGTTATTCCCCAAGCACTCTGAGCCCTTTCCCCGCTACTAATCTATATTTATCCAGAGGTGCGATGCCATTTCTGTGTCTTGGTGTGCTGTTGACCCAGCCGGTCTCTTACAGCCCTACCCGAAGCTGTGGCGCTATTTTTACAACCCCGTGAGAAGCCGTATTTGTACTGTTGTCTCAGGCAGACCAGGATCCTGGTCCTGCCCCCCCACCCCCGCCCCTCCTGTCAGCACACCAGCCAGGGGCTTCTGTTCACACCATCTGCTCGTCCATCACTTGTGTAGGTCCACACCTGCAGAATGAATCTCCTCAGCCGTTGGTGGCTGAACAGGTTTAGTAGACGTGTGACTAACAAAACACAAACAAAACAGCGACCGAAGTAAGGACGAGGATTTGAACCTTTCTTGATCAACTTTTGTTAAAGTGTTTCCTTTGCAACACTTTTTTTGGTCAGGCAGAGGAAACAAATGTATTTCTCTCAATAAACAATAAATCTTTAAAAAGCTCTCCACATGGAGAAGAGAGGAATGAACAACACGTGCTGTTTCAGCCTTTTGCACAACGAAATGATGCCATTGAAAGTTAAACTTGAAAGACCTGCTCGATTGGAGAGGAGAACCAGGTTGGCTTAAATATCTCGCGTGTAATTAAAAGACTGTTAGTGAAGTAAGCATTTGGGACCGTGCAGAATCTGGACGTGTTGCTACACTGCTAAACCCATCAATCTATATATTTTTCTCTTTCTTTATTAATAAGTAATTATAACAACTAGTTCCCCGGGCGGTTGGATAACGCGCACACACACACACACATACATACATAGCGGGTTTGTCAACTCAAATTCTTTAAAAACAAACTTTTGATGGGAGTGTTTGATTTGTAGTGACAGCCCGACAATAGAGTCGCACCTTTCTGGATAGAACGGAGGACACACACACACACACACACACACATCGCTTAATGCATACCCGAACACTCGGACCTGGAAGACGTCTTCAAGCAGTAGCGCTCGCCATGTGGTTTACGACGCTGTAAAGGCTGCACCGGTTAAATGTTACAGTTCTCAATTATCTATCGGTTATAGGTTTGGGGGTCCGCTCATTAGTGACCCCCCCCCCCCGCGCTATAAAGGTTCACTACTTGACTATAAAATATCCTGCCCTAGAAATGTTGGAATCATTGCCAAAAGGTTTGACTGTTTGAGAAGGCTTTATATGTGTGAACATTTTCCGATGACTAATGGTTATCACATTGTAAATATTGATTGCTGGCCGCTGGTATCCGGCTCTCGTCTAAATCCTGGATGCCATCAGATGTAAATGGTTTTGCAGCGACAGCTGTGAGATGAATAGAGGATTGATTCCATGTGCTGAGGGTCACAAAAAAAATGGATTAAGCCATTAATCTGGACTGATGGGAATTAATTACATTACAGTACAGTCCGTACCAGTCAAAAGGTTGGACGTGCCTTCTCATTCAATGGTCCTCAAAACTATGAAGGAACACGTTGAGTTTATTTGCTAAACAAAGAAATCCTCCAAGAATCTTCAAATTAGCCTTTTGCTATAACGTTGAGGATTAATGATCTGTTTGTTTTTTGCAGATAAAAGCCGGACGGGCCGCAGTGGAACTCGACTACATCGTCGGCAGCGCCTTCCCTCCGCCAGCACCCCCCCCCCCCGCCGCGCCGGTTAGCCCCGAATGCTATTGGTCGATGTAGAAACGCGGTGCAGATTATGGACACGGATTTGAACTTAATGCAGATGTGGTTTTTTAGGTGCTAACAAGATTACATTTCTTTTATTTGCGAATCCCACTCTCGGGAACACTATGCTTCAAACCAATGGTGCAACGACACACGGCATAGGATGGATCCTGTGCGCAGCAAGAAACCCCCTGGGTCCATGCTGCATCCATCCAAGCGCTGCCGTTTACTCCTAAACCGCCCAAAACGTCTTAGTGGTGGGTTCTCATATTGCTGAATGTAAGCTCTTCATCTATAAGTCTTCATTAGCCAGACATTGATAAGACCTCCATGCCTTCAACCTTCCTCCCCTCGCATTCCTTTTTCATGCAAATCCGAGTTGAACAAGAGAAGACAGGTGAAGGCCACAAGAAGGAAGGGAGAAGAAGGGAGGAGGGAGCGCCCCATCACGAGGTGTAAAGCACAACGACGGGCCCCAGAAGCCAAACACCG